GTTCGCAATGACGCTCGTCGACGCTGCAGTACTATAGACGGGAACGCAGCCGTAGATGGGTACCGATGGAAACCGTCTGCGTGTGCTTTCGCGGAGTATATGGTAAGACGAAGGTACATGTTGTCCAATTTTACAGTCTGGTATCAATCGGCACCACCTGCTGCTGTTTTGGGAGAGCATAGAAGAAAAGGAGGATACTAGACCGTTTCCCCTACACACTCTCAAAGACTAGCGGCCAGCGGCAGTCCTGTCTATGGCTGTGTTCCTGCCTATAGTGTTATAGCGCTATTGCAAGGGAATGGTAGCGCGTCATGGTGAGCTGCCTGCATGAAAGAGCTGAGCTTCTTCTACCTTGTCCTCCTCATCTGCATACAGCAGTAACACTGTAGAAATCTCTATTTCCCCTGAAATTTCTTCTTTCTTACCATTAGAAAAGTGGACCATACTTAGCAAACCTTGTACAGTTCTCATCACTAAGAGAACGCCCAGCGTTTGGAAATGGTGATCTGTACGGCTCAGATACTAACGACCAGATGATATTTAACACAAAAAAGGAAAAAGGGAACTTAAAATCTGCCCGAAATGCCCCATATAAAACCTTATGCTTAACCGCCTGTGTGCTCGTAGGGCGAAAAAAGGGCGTGGTCGGACGAGTTGTTGCTTGATGATGTCAGCTATTTCTCCATCAGGACGCTCTCGGTATTCTAAATGGAGTTAGTAGCGAGCGCGGCCACGACCGCGAGGATGAATGGCAGAGAAGTATTTAGAACAGTTGGTACACGAATACTTGGCCGTTGCCTTGCCTCCCCCCCCCCCTCTTTGTGTCCTCCCATATGGATGGTAGAATGTAAGTGGGGTTTAGGTTCCCAATTCCCAATGTGAAGCACAATTTCCTTGAACACTTTGCCACGATTTCATGGTGATTATGTAACAGTAACAATGGCGAAATATTACAGAAAGTTATTTTCGTGGCAAAACGATTTGGGTGGTTGGCTGTAGTTCTGGCATTGGAGCAGAATTAGTGCTACGTTTGGCACAGCTGGAATGCAATATCATTTTATCAGCTCGACGAAAAGAGAACTTGGATGCATTGAAAGCAAAGTGTGATGGTGGGCCCAATGATTTACTAATCTAGATGAATCGATTTTAAAAATTGATTTTGTTCTAGAGAAGTCATCAACTCGATCATCGATTGTGTACCCATTGGATGTGACCAATTTTGAACAGTTGCCAGAGGCATGTCGGAAAGTTAGGTCGTTCTTCGGAAAGGTGCGGTTAGTTCAATGTACCTTATTCAACGTTTATTAGGCACGGTGGACTTAGAGGCTTTACTAAGGTCAGCCTGGAGCAACTGTCCTTCACAAAAGTGTCAAATTTCTCTTCGGTGAGGAAGATTGTTAGTACCCTTCGTACCATTTTATGTTATACAGCAACCCAGAATTCAAGGAAATTTGAGTCCACTTTATACGCCAGCACCTTCGGGACGACTTTTAGCCCTCCAACATGGAGATTGACGGTATGACGTAGGTAGGGTGTGGGGTTCAGACGGTACATGAGCCCCACATACTCTCCATCTGTTGGCGATGGGGAAGGCGTGGCTGCATACTTCAATGAACGGGCATATTATTGCCTTAGGACAGTGGTAATCAGGGTTTTGTCCAGCACAAGATAGGATGACTGTGAATATCGTATGAAAACATATCCTGCGCTAGATTCAAACGAAGAATGCAACCATGCCCTCTCCATCTCTGGGATATGGGCTATACATACGGGATGCACGGCGCACCACAAAAGGATCAAATAAGAATTCCTGAAACGTCTATTGAGCCAAATTTACCGTTTCCTCCTCTAGGTCGACGTGATCATCCTATGTTGTGGCCAATCACAACGTGCTGAATGGATATCGATTGATCCAAAGGTGGATGAAGCCTGTTTTCGGGTGAACGCTCTTGGACCAACGGTACTGGCAAGAGAATATCTGAAAACCCTGGAACCAGATGAGAAAGGTATGTGAAGTGCAACCTATTCCCAACATGTGATAGGTCAACTTTGACGCGTGCGGTCGCCTTCGTCGGTGCTTTGTTCATCTAACCTTTGGTGCCTCGGGATCTGAGGAGGAGGTGTCGCTCTAGGATTCTAAGATTCTACTAAAGTTCTACTTTCTTTGCAGGACTGTTGCCCCCCACTCATTTTGTTGTTGTGAGCAGTGTGGCTGGAGTGATTGGAGCTATTCTGTCACCATCATATACTGCTGCTAAACACGCTTTGATGGTAAGATGATTATACTAAAAGAATAGTCTGTGTTGCTCGTACGGGCGTAGTCAGTTCTACCTTTGTTCGTTATCGGTCCACTCTTTATTTTCGAAGGAGAGAGGCGCGTGGCTGGTGAGGGTGGGCTCGACGTCCCAGCGTGGACCCTGCGCTTAAACTGAATCTCTTGAGTTGTTTCATGAGTAAAAAAATTTTTTTCTAAGTCAAGGGCTCCTGTAAAAGATGAAATGTTTTGTTAGTGGGTTTCATAGCGTCTGATGGAAAACGTGCTATATGATATTAGGCTCAGTATTCTGGTTCCATGCTTCTTTTGTGGTATACGTGGTTTGGGAGAAGCGAGTGTGGGAGACCCAACGAATCTCCCTTTCCGTTCGTGTGCACCCTCACCAATATCAACCGAACTCGCCAGAAACTAGCACGAGAGCTCAAGAGAGCAGGTGTGGGCAGGTGTGGTGAAGTCTTGCCAGAGGCTGCAGCTATAATTGATATCGTTACAATTCGCCAAGGGTGGGTCAGGAGGCATTGATGAGCTAGCTCACCTAGGGTTGCGATTCCAACCAATAGCGACCAGCTCTGGTAGAAAACAACTAGTTGGAGAACATGCTGGGGGTGGACACATTCTAGGCACCGCATGCAACACGGCCGGACTGCGACGGCGTAAATATTCAATTATCACGGCCATTTCGTAATTTTCGCGATATTTTGCAGTGTTTTTTTTTCTTAGCACGAGGCTTCAATTTCAGGGTTATTTCCGAGTGTTAGCTTTGGAATACACAGCCAGGGGTATTACTGTCTCTCTCGTCTGTCCATCGTTGACATTTGCTCCGAATAATGTATTGAATGCGTTCTCTGGCCAACTTGCAAAGGTAGTTCTTATTTCTTCCTTATTGTTGTAGGACGAAGCAGTGAGTGAACTGCCAATCACTTTTTCAGACAAACGGCGAAGTGCTGACAGAAGCAACCACGGCGCACATGTCAGCAGCCCGTTGTGCTCAGCTAATCCTGTTGGCCGCTTCAAATCGCATTTCTGAATGCTGGCTCAGTCAAACAGCCCCGATTTTGTTGATGTGCTACTGCAGTATTGTTATGCCCGGGATCACGAATAGGTAGGGAGAACATTGAGTATTCCTTGCAGAAACGTGATGTAAGTCCATATCATGGTATCTGGAGAGGGCGTGTCCACAAACTTCTGATTAGTTGTGAGCGCGAAGGCGGTGTCACCTCTGTGGAATTTGTGATGGTTTGAACCAAGGGTGTATCAATTTCTTCTTGCGCCACCTGTGCCTTGCCGTCTCTGCCCTGGGCAGATAAGGCAGCGTTCAGACTTCGCGACAGCAGCGCTTCGGTCGCGCGTTCGACGCGATCGATGCGCATGCTTTCGACTGCATCGATCGCGTCGAACAAGCAACGAAGCGCTGCCGTCGCGAAGTCTGAACGCTGCCTAAGTTTCCATGGATCCGCTGCCGCTCTCATACTATGTCTGTAAACACATCCTCTCCAGCTCCCGTGGCATGAACTGGCTCTTATATGAAGGAATTTAGATAACTGGTATTTCTTGCAGGGTCATTCAAACGATAGGTATTGATCGAATAAAAAATATTCGAACTGGAAGCCAAAGTAATTGAGGCGATGAAGGCGCCAATGGATCTCGTGATGGATTTAGTGACATGCCTGAGATATATTTTATTACGTGTATTAATTGAGAAAATGCTTCTTATTTCTTCATGCATAGGTGCTGTGACAGAAAATCGATATATTGATTTTATTGCAATAAACGTTTGACGTAATTGGTGTTGAATTGCCCAATAGTGTCAGCGTTGTGGATGGTGCAACGCAGTCAGGGCAGATCGTACGCTGGCGATTCCCCAGCTGGGGCCGTACCTGGTTGCAGGAGAGGGGGGGGGGTCGTTTCTGGCATTGTTTTGTCCTGTTTTTCGCTTTTCACACGCGCTATTCACATGGTTAGGAGACTCTCACTAGAAGTGTCGTGCTCACTCGCTGCTTTGAGCAGGGGGAGGAGAGGAATCAAGGAAATTATTTCTGTGTGCAAGAAAGTTTTACGGCCGTTGAATTTTCGCGGTCCCCCCACCACCCCCTCGAAAACTGAGGAAGATGGGGCGAGAGAGCCTTGGTTCGCAATGGGTTTCCCCGGCTACAGGACGTGCCCTGAACGGCGAGAGTACAGGGCACAGTGTGTGTGAAACAAATGGGGAGGTCGTTTTTCCCGGTTGTTGAACTTTTCGTGATTTCCCTTTTATCATTGGCTATTTCACATTGGTTCGCGAAAGGTGGTAATTAGGGGAAAAACTGGGGAAAATCGAAGAAATTTTCCCGCCCTCCCCCTCTGCTACAGGAAAATCTTTGGGTGAAAAACTGGAAAATGTGGGGAAATTGGTAAGTAGGTGTTGGGAAAAGGGGAGGGGGTCGTACCTACACCACCACTTCACACATCACCACGCTGTACCCCGCGTGCGTAGTCGCTCGAATGATATGCGCATGGCAACGGGAAACATTGCTCGTTCGGGACACCCTCTTCGCTGCCTGACGTTATTGGGGCTGAGGATGAAACTTCACGCTCTCCTCCTTACCAGCAGTGCCTCAGAACTAGCTTCCTTCTTAAGGCAGCGTTCAGACTTCGCGGACGCGCGTTCGTTCGCGCGTCGGCGTAATCGAGCCGTGCGGAAAGCATGCGGTATAGATCGCGTTCGTAAACGCCCCGACCAACAGGCACCCATCTTGTTATCAATCACAACAGGGGTCGTATTCCCGCATGGAGGGGGGCGTAAACCATGCGCCATGTTGAAGGAGCAGAGAGCGGTGAACACGCTAAAATAAAAACAAGCTCAAATTAGAACGATGTAAATGACAATAAATAGAACTAGCACTATCACACTATTCCGAAACAAAACTAAAAAAATATCTAAACTGTTCATCCTTTCCTCATCAAAAAACTCAAGACACTTCCCAATAAACCCTCCTCATCTAGTCTAGGTAAATCCCAATGCCACTTATATCCACATAATCTTAGCTAATGAATCCAAATGCGAAAGCTACTATGAACTTACTTTAGGAATGAGTCCTTCGAGCAATCTCCTCCAACAAAATCAACTCAACAAAACAAAATCAGACTTAACAAAAACAAACAATCAATAGTAAGTCACAATTCAAAGAATACAGAATAAAAAACTCAACCAGCCAGCTGGGAACCGGAACTATGGATTACTTTTGAATTTTGGCTGTTCGCGGTCAGCGCGCTCATACAAGCGCATTGGTGCGCGCTATTTTACGGTTTGGAGCCAATTTCAAGCCAAACACGTGAAAAGTACCCCTCATTTGAACACCCATACTCTTTGAAATGATACTAGTCGAGAGGGTAAGGGATGAGTTACAGCTGTTCGCTCCTATAACCAGATGAACGATTTCAAAAACGTCCGATTCCAAGGATTTTCACCTGTTGTGATCATCTTTGTGCATTCATCTAGTATCATTTTGCGATACCGAGTCGACGCTATTGGTCGTTTCCATACGCAATGCTTCATACACGACTTTCGCCTGAAAAAAAGAACTGCTGCCGGAAGCTTGAGATTCTACTCCCAACCCGCCCTCTTCCAGCAAGGTTTTAATTTCCTTCCTAGACCTACTATTCGAAAAAATTCCCCGTTGTGATCATTTTGTAATCACCCCCCACGACACCGAAAAATCAACCCCTCCGAGGCCAGGAAACCTCCACTTGGCTCGAAGACTTTGGTATGCTTCTGAAACACATGTTTTCATCAAGTGCATATCATAATCCTTGGCGACAAACTGCATCACATGTGCAATGCGCCATGCATGGGGCTTTCACGCAGGTGTTTGAAAGGTGTAACTTCTAGATAGGGCTTCCCAATTGCAAGCAAATGTGCTCCTACGATCAGAAAAGTCCGGGAATGTACTTTCATCTGTTTATTAATCGTCACGTCGTGAGTCCTCTTGTTTGTTTATAAATTCATGGGCCCCTTGGGGCGGGGATCGTAGCTCCTATCATCGCCTTTCCTCTATATATCTGTCAGTATGCTACCCCCTCCACCCAGTGTGCTGCGACCTGGTCTGACCGGTTGGACTTACCTAGGTACTGCGACCTCTCCCTCCCGGTGACAGCCAAAATTTGTAAAAAAAAATCCTAGAAACTTTTGGGAAAACAATAGTGACAAAGTGTAGGAGTTGGAAAATCTAGGGAAGAGGTAACGTGGGGAGGGGGGTCGTACTTGAAGATGGAATTAGGGGGGGTCGTATTTTTCAGGAAATGATCACAACGCAATGGCGTGCCCTGCGACGATAGAGCTGATGTCGCAATATCTGAATCGCTGTCCTAACTAGAAGCATATGTACCACCTCGGAAATAAATCCTTCTCCCAACAACAAATAGGCAACCTTCAGGTTGGCGCTTACTCATTGTTAGACCAATTTAGTTCTACCATTAAAAGGCAGGTAAACTAGCAACAGATTTGTTTGGTAGGGCATAAACAGCAGAATAGGCCCTAGGCACCATCAGAGTAATTTTGCATGAAAGTAGAATTCCGAAAATGGAATCGATCATCTTCTTAAAGACATTGCCCACGATCAAGTGTTACGGGTAGCAGGCGCCAATCATGAACCAGTAGCCCATGAGTAACTCCTCAGTAGAGGAAGAAGCAAGTTTGAGAACACTCGAACAGAGACCCCTGCAGTGGAGCCGGCGCCTTGGACGAGTTTGTCAAACGTCAGACAAGCCCAATCAGCAGGATTCGTAGTGCAGCAGCTGCCGGCAAGAGCATAGGAAATCGCCCTACGACGCTCCAGGCAACGCTATGTACACACGCAATTCCGCTTGTGAGCCGTTGTCTTGCAGAGTTACAGTACGCGGTTGCACCGGTTGCAAAACTCACGCGTCTCTAGCTTCGTTATCTCGCCATTTCGAGTGACGAAAGTGGTATATTCTTTGCGAGCGCGGACAACAATGCCCAATGCACGGAGGCATTTGCTGGTCACTTGGTCGCGGGAAGTGTATTTTAAGCTTTTCATCTATTAAGGAAGGACAAAATGTGCACTGACCACTGTGGATCCTGGTCCTTGCTACGTGGGCCATTAAATGGTCCTTACCTGCAATAGCGTGCCCTTTTCTCCGGTCAAAAGTGCGAAGGGGGCTGGAGGGTCGTGATACACAAGTGCCACCTCCATACTCTGTCTGCGCTGCCGCGGCCAGCCACATTCCTAGTCATAGTCAAAGGCGCTACTTGTCGTCCTCTCTCACTTCTGGTTGTGCCAAGTGCTGCACATTGAGCCTAGCGGGTGGAGTTTGGAGATGGCACACAGGAATCACTACGAATCACTACCCTCCTGTCCCGTTTCTGCTCACTTTCGAGCAGAGAAAATGGCACTCTACTGTGTTTAATGCAGGCCCACTAACCCCGCACATGGAAGAAGCGTTCTTTTAGGTGAGTGGACACGTTGTCTTTAGACGACTTTAGGCACGTCTGGCAAAATAAAAACTTTGACTTCTAGCTTACCAGTAAGCATAGTTTCCTGCGCCGAACTGCCTAACCTTGTCGGTAATCGTGTGGGACAACAGAACGGGAGTAGATTTGTCCCAAACTTTGTCCACGAGTGTAGTCTGACTTTTGAGCACAAGTTTTGCACTTGCAAAAACCGAAAATGCGTAGCGTTCGCGCTAAAGGAGCCGATGCTGTATCGAGCTTTTGGCTCCAGCTCCTGGGCGCACGTACAAGGCGTTTTCTCACCAAGCATATGTGACTTCCTTCTACCTGGGGTCAAGCCACCCCCCTCCCCTCACCCTCGCCTGAGACAAATTTCCTATTTGTTTGTGGGGTTTGAGTGTTGTTTTAGCGGGCCGGCCGCGGGTTCGGTATGCCATGCTGTCGGGCAGTTCGATGTTCATGTTCATCAAATCAAGCTATCACTGGGAAAACTTCAAGCCAAATCTGCCTCCGGTGAAAAGCTTCGGTCCAAATAATGACTGGATTTTGAGAAGTGGGAGCGGATTTTCCCCCGAAATCGGATGAATATTTAACGCACCGCAGACTAATCGTACGGCATGAATTTATTTTGAGCAATTGATCCTTTCACTTCATCCCAGCTAGTTACGACATCTTTATTGACAAAGGAATCTTGCAATCTCTTACTTCCTGGCGCTCGGTGCACAGGCCGGGTTAAAGTGCTCCACTGCCAAACAGCAGATGTCCTTTAAATTTTCTCAGTAAAAATTTATTGTGACCTGTATTTATTGAAGATTTTGTTGATTTCTTTATTGTTTCTAACCAATATTGTAGCTATTACCTCCTAACCCTACAGGGAATGCCTCCGCCTTCGGAATTCCGAACTTGCCGGGAAGAATTCCGCTGTAACGATGATGGCTTCTTTAGTTTCACTTCTACTGAACAGGTTTGTGAATTTCGATCTTTTAGAAGGTCCAGATGAAACTGTCCACTTGTTTCAGAAGCGTGTAGAAGATTTGGTTGAAGATCAGATGAAAGGATGCGCGACCACCGAAGAAGGTGATGCACCGGTCACTCCAGTGCTTCAAAGGAGCCTCCATGTCGATTACCTTACAAAATCTTTGAGGGAATGTGGTCGTGGATATAGTGTGGGTTTTTAGTTGACTCTTTTATATTTATCCCTTGTTGACTTTTTCCCAATCAGTGTTAATATCCTGTAAAGCCCTCCCAGCTATTACTTCTGTCTCATAGACAGTAAGGCTACTGCTTGACCTAGGCCCAGTACTACCACTATTTGACCTAGGCACCTTGGCGCTTTTCCATTAAGATGCGGCAGATGTGGTTCCTTAACACGGAGCTCCATCTCCTCTGAAATCTTTGCAAAAATGCTTCGTTCCATCACTTTTCCTTATGATAAAAGGATAAAGTCTTCGCTTTTATCAATCTCTTTTGAGATGCGGCTCGCATTCCACTTCCTTTCACAGTCGTAGTTGGCTGAGTGAAGGCGATGCGGCCGTGAATGGGAAGCTCGTCCTACAGATGTGAGAGTTTTTGTAGGCTTAACGTGGATTCTGGCTTATAAACTCCCGCGTCCTGTAGTCCTCTCGGTGCCTATCTCTGCATTGCATATGGCCCTGTACTGCCTGTATAGTTTACCTGACTAGGTGTGCCACGGGATATCTGAGCGAGCTCCGATACGACCCCATTTCCTGCTTCTCTACAATCATAGGCCAACTCCAGGAATTCCACAAGCCCTGCTCGTTGCCGCATTACTCTCTCGCTACGCACCACTACTCGTCCACCGGTCAAGTACGGCCTCCCCTTGGAAGTCCCAACAGTGAGGTGCCATGTACGTGACTACTTGGTCTTTTCTGCATGGCCCTGCAGCGAAACACTGTAGCGCCAGATAGAGGACGGCACCCTGTCACAGAGCCGTCAAAAAGCTACAACACACGTGGCGAGCTGGATGGGCTTTTCAAGGAGTGGTTACTCTGAGGTATCATGCGTTAGAAGCTGGACTGCAAGTGTTCACAACGGTCATAGAATGTCTTGCAGTTACGGGAGCGTAGATAAAAGCAGAAAGTTGAGTCGATTGAGTTCGAGTCTTCCGTAGACCGCTGATTTCATGTTTGGATGGTTACCATGGTCTTCCTTTCAACCGTTTCGACTCGGCTTTCTACCTGACAATAGAAAGAACGTCACAGCGACTTGTTTCATTAGAAGCTTCGGTTTTTTTGCCTTACTTCTCTAAGAAAAGTGCACTCAAAAGCGCTGAATCGCAGTCAATACATAGTGCCACAGGGTTGTTTCAAACCTGGGTAAACTTGCCCAGAATGCGTGAGGTCCACGTTAGGCAGGCTGTGCATTTTACCCATAATGCGGTACTCTTGCAATTACAATGGCTTTCTTCACTTCTTGGTCCGACCATTCCCCACTTTTGCTACTGTTTTTTTTCTGATTTAATGAAGTTTGAAGTTCACTGCAAGAAAGTTCTTCATCACTAATTTGTTAGGGTTTGGATGCAAGCCGTTCATGGATGTGCTACTGGGGATTGCACAGCTTGAACATCCTTGGCGTATCACTTCCGCATAACCAAAAAGCTGACATTCTCGCATTTTTGAAAACTTGTCAACATCCCGATGGAGGGTTTGGAGGTAATACAAGTTCTTGTTACTTCTCAACTTATACCGAAGAAATAGGCTATAATTTCACTATAATTACTGTTTCCGTAGTGATTTCGAAGCAGTTTCCAGGCGGACCAGGTCAATATGCTCACCTAGCTCCAACATATGCAAGTGTGATGGCTTTGGCTTCACTTCAAACTGAGGATGCCCTCGCTGCTATCAATCTGTATGCTTCCTTCTCCTTTGAATTTCCTTTTCAGTTTGGTTTTGGTAATTAATCAGTAACTGAGTACCGTGAATTCGCCCTTTCTAAGCGAAATTCGGCGCTGACATAGTACACGCGTGCGGTGTAGTCCATTAACTGCTAAGAAATAGACGGGCGCAGTTTGCCGACGGGGGGGGGGCATTTTGCACTTTCGTTGCTTCACTAGTTCTGGTTTACAAGTCTCACTCTGGTGAAACCTGTGAACTCTTGTGAAGCTGGAGCAAGCTCGTCAAGCCATCATGGTAAAACCTGTCAACTCGAGAAGAGGCTGTCTAGATGGGTCGACACGTCGATGGGAAGTTGCTGAAGTGCAAAATGCCCCCCCCGTCGCCAAACAGCTCCACACGGGGTGTCCACGACGTTACATGACAATCTGATGACGTATGTTATGCCCATGATACAGGTTTTTCGTCATTAAGGTGTTGGATCTGGGAACTGATCCCTGGCGCGGTCGGGGGAGGGGCTCAACTCCCGCCCAAGTCAGCGAAGCCATTTACATTCCGGGGCGATAGCAAGACAGGAGGGTGAAAGCATCGACTTTCGTATTTCATCGACTTCTACATCGGCTTGCCCCCCTCCTTGGACGTTGTATGGGCTGCACCGCATTCTGTGAGCTATGATTCTAAGTGGGAGTGGAATGCGTGCCGCATCCCACAAAGGGACTGGGTGAGGGTGAAATCTTCATCCTATGTTTAATTTTCTTCATTTGAAGTGTTAGAAGATAGGCCATCTTCTAACCCCTCAGGTGAAAAACCTGTGCTACTTCTGCGCACCGTTTTGATCGCACCGTTTTGTTAGTATGGATAAGTGAAGAGTGGTAGAGTAGGGATATTTCAGAGAGTCGCTGTCACGCTTCCTTCATCGGATGAAACAACCTGATGGGTCTTTCACCATGCACGATGGCGGTGAAGCTGACATTCGTGGCACATACTGTGCTCTGGCCGTTGCTGCCCTCTGCGGCATCATGACAGACAAGTTAAAAGACGGTGCAGCAGAGTGGGTCATAAAGTGAGTATAGCGTCTTCTATTGCACGTGGATCTTTTATTTTCTTTATTTTTCGTAGATTTTGGTTTCCTTTCCACCAAGCTCGTTTAATTGACGTTAAGTGAACGTTTTAGATGCCAAACCTATGAAGGAGGCTTCGGTGGTGAACCATTTGCGGAAGCTCATGGCGGTTATGCTTTCTGTGGTGTAGCTAGTCTTGTAATTCTTGACAGGTCCGTTCTCGGAGTGCGTTCATACTTCGCGATCCGATTGTTTCTGTCGCGCGATCCAATCGATCGGATCGCAATGTATGAATGCGGTCTCAGTGTTGCTTATGATTCATTTCCTTTTAGGTAGATATGTGTTAATTATGTGATTCTTAAGGTATCGTCCTCGCCGATTCGGAATTGTTGCTACAGTGGCTTTCAAAGAGGCAGATGCGATTCGAAGGAGGTTTCCAGGTATGTGGTGAAGTTCCAGCTTGATCCCGCTTGGCGCGCTTGAAGCTTTTGTCGTTGCAGGGTCGTACAAACAAATTGGTGGATGGCTGCTACAGCTTCTGGCAGGCTGCGAACTTCCCTCTCATCGACGGGGAGATGGCTCGAGAAGTTGGTCCTTTTACTTCGCAGTTTTTGTATGTCTGGAGAGCCTGTCTTGTGGTGTAATATGGAAGGGGTCATATGCTGTAAAATACCGTCTATTCACGGTGCTTGCAATTTTGCGCAAGGAGTTTTCTGACTCTCAGGGTATCTGTCAGCGCAAAGCCTTCTTCCCTTTCTTCTTTCTTGCTCCTTTCTTTTCATTCCTTTCTCTCTGTCCCTTTCTTCCCTTCCTTCAAATGCTCAGCCAGAAGATACGACTAGAAAATACCTCTGGAACTTAAGAGCCAGTGGTAGAGTGCTTGGCAGACGCTCCGTAACCAGTTTTGTGCTGCGAATTTCCTTTGCACACCATTTCTCCGGTTCTCTTATGTTTTCGTTCAGTCACTTGAGGTTCAGGCGCTACTTCAGTTTGGGAGAGCAAAGCGATTAAGTCCGCTTTTCTGCATGAAGAGACGGGATCGCGGGAACTCTGACCGTCTACCTTATTATAAGGCTTAGCCTGGGAAAACGAAGCGATCGAGGCTGTATTGAGGTTTTCTTGCGGCCCTTTCGGCTACCGCTAAAGCTAAAAAAATATTCACAGTGTTTTGAATGCCTACATAAAAAGGTCGATGTATTTTACTTCTAGCTTGGCTACTGCCTCTGATTTTTAGTGTTTTTTTTGCCGTTTGACGTTGCGGTACCTCTTCTATGATAATTTGTAAAATTTCAGCCCTGTAGGTTCAGCCCTATAGGTAGTACGCGATAGACAGGCTTTGAACAAGATTCACTCTCTTTTCAGGGACGTCTTCCAACTGAGGGCCTTTTCGATGCTAGAATGTTGGAAGAATATATTCTGTTGTGCTGTCAAGTGAGTGTCCATTGCCAGTATGCAAGTTTTTTTTTCGAAATTGCGTCTGTACCCCTTCCACTTGCAGGATGAAGCCGGTGGTTTCCGTGATAAGCCCGACAAGTCACGAGATCTCTACCACACCTGTTATGTTCTCAGCGGTCTAGCAGTTGCACAGGCTTACTCGTCCACTCGCGAACCTGACGGAGTGCTCGGTGGAGCCCAGAATGTTGTGGTACGTGCCCATAATGTTCAACTTTCTTCTTTCTCTTTCTCGTTCCTTTTTCCTTTGTTCGAGGACTTTTGTACAGTTTACTTCTCGTTTGAGCGTTAAGGTAGGCGGGGTCGGCAGAGAAGCTAGAAAATGTTCTTTCTGTGTTAGTGTGTGTCCTCTTTCCGAAATATCTCCCAGTGATCGGTATTGTCTTCTTAGCCTTAGGGAGTGCAGAGAGTATAAGGCCTGGTCTCACTCCCCTCCCTTCCAGTTACTATAGAAACCCTATCTTTTTTTCTGTCGTCTCTTTCCTCAATACGACTGGTACGTGTGATCATTCCTCTTCCTGTTTTCAGGAGTTCCTAGAAAGTAATCCCTCCTACGTATAATTTGCTACTTTTGTCTACTTTTGTTTGTCTGCCCGGGAATTTGGCTCTACTAGGAGAGGGTGCGGTTGGTATTCAGGAATGGGTAGTTCATGGGAGGAGCAAGAGCACTCATCCATAGAGCACTCATGACCCATGCTAAGCCCGCCCACAGTAGGCGGAGCATGCGCTGAAAGCAAGCGGTGTCGCAAAAATTCGTAATTAGGTTCCAGAGCAGCACAGAGCTGGGGAGAAGTGGAGTAAGATTAGTAAAGAATTGACAGACTAAATGGCGAAGAAAGGGGAAGAGGCCCCACTTGAAACGGCGTGCTTCCGCAAAAATTTGTAAACTCTCGTTTCTCGAAAGAGTTTTGAGAGCTAAAAAGATGGAGAAGAAGGGCAACATCTAGCGAGGGCGAGCATGCCTGTGATGTTGAGACCTGCCCGCCGCGTGCGGGGCTTGCACACCGCAGTCAGACGGGAAGCCAACTGTTACTTCAATAGTTTCCATCTATTTCTGACAAATTCGAACTCTTTTCAGGTGCCCATCAACCCCGTGTTCAATCTCACTACTTTAAGCGAACAGTTTGCTGTAAGTTTCTTCGGAAGAGGTCCTCGCTGAAATTGCTTTCCTTCAAGTCACTATTGTCAATCACGGTCTTGCTAAATTCTTTCCCGATGAACTGCGTTTTTTGATACTTTTTATGTTTATTCAATTGTTGCGCTAGCCAACTTTATCAGTTATGCATGTCACCGCCTTCTTATTCATTTTTGATATCATTATGTGGTCGCTTAGCTCACTATGTGGGCGCTGCAATAAAACTTTAATGTTCTGCGTAATGTGCTCGAGTAAATTGTATCCAGCACTTCTATATTGATCAGTTTTTTTTCAGCAGTTTAGCCAGTATTCGGCAAGTTTATCACTTATTTGATCTATTAGGCGTTTTGTAAATTTATTCCAATCATGTTTAGTTTTAAAATGGCAGAGGGTGTAAAGAAGATGAAGAAAAAGAAGAACAAGTTCAGAAAAGCAAGTCACTTTTTAATTCTCTGTTTGCAGAAATTTTTAGATTATTGAAGGTTTTTTCAAGGACTTCGATCGAACAAACGTAAAGGAGCCGAAGTCAAACGAACTCCCGGTGGCGCGAGATTCAGGGAGTAGTGGCAAGAAGCACAAGGCGAATGGTTTGAAACAACCTTTAGTGAAGCATCACGAAGGCCAGAAGTGGTACAGCTATTCAGGTTTGGTCCCTTTTTCAACTTCCTATTATTTCGCTTTTTTTTTGTGAGCTGCACAATTTTTGAGCTTTTAAAGGCATAAGGTACAATAATTTGGTAATCGGTCTGAAACGGTACTAGAGGTGCTGTATAGTGGAAAAATGTCTATAAACGAAGTGAAACGGTCGAAAACCTGCAAAAAATCTTTTGTTCTTTATGACCAAGCAAGCGTTTTCGGACGAGTTTCCCGTTGGCATCTGCCAATAACCGCTACGGTTGTTACGACTGCATGCATGTACTTTTATACTCATGCAGCACCGCTTTTTATTCATATCGGTCCCTTCGCTTCACACTATTCATCGCATATGAAGCGATGTGAGCATCAGCAGTATTTGTGGGCGGGCAGGGTGCGGATCGAAGCTTGTGGGGGACCACTTTTCAGCGCTCTTATAGAACAAGGGAAGTAGCGAAAATGCGAAATGCCCCTCCCCAAAACTACGATCGATATGTCCTAAATAAGATCTTTCCAGTTTTGAGCATTGTGGGAGCTGCGACGAAAAGGGACAGTGCCCACTAGCGCGAGAGTACTGAGCGGTAACGTTCCATGCACGTGAGCATAGACCTTATAGATTTGAGTGGTAAGCTTTGAGAACGCGGTTCCCCCCCTCTGCTCACATCAGGTTTAGAATTAACGTGCTTTCCCATGCGAATTTAGATACGTGCTTATAAGTTGGCATGTAATCTCTGTTAGATGTGAAATATTCTTCAAGTAAAGGCTAGGCTCGTATTTGCTCCATTGTGTTTTCGTTCAACTTTGAAATGCCACAGATTCACTGAAACAATAACTTTCAGATCAATGAAATAATCGATGATCCCATCAAGGATACTCTTGGAACTGCTGATCTGTTAGCTTTGGAGGAAGAAGCGGACGAATTCCTCAAAGCTGATATTGATCTTTATAACCAACGTAAGATTTTGACTATTTAAGTCAATTCATCTCTCGCTATTGTGCTGTCCCAGTCTCCTTGCTATTCTTTACATTCCTTGACTGCCTTTCGACGCGAATATTCATTAAAGATGTGCGGACGCAAGGAGGTTCTGAAGCTTCTTGGTTGCTCTCTGTCATTAAAAAGGGTACTGCTAGCGATCGTATGACTGCAATGCAGCTTCAGGTGATTTCTTCATTTTGAATTGAATTATTCCAAATGATTCGTCATTCAAAGGGAGTTTCTCTCGGTAATCCTTATTTCAGATGCATACCTCACCGGTGCACTCGTTGTGCTATATGGAAATTATGATTGGCTCTCTTGAAAGGAAGAAACACCAGAGAGGCACTGGAAATTCTGCGTGAGCTTCGTATTTACTATGTCATGAACTTTACAAATGCATAAGCTGCAGTTTGTGACTGATTTTTCAGCGATACTTGAAGAAATTTTCCTTGATCATTTCTTGCCGACGATCGGAAACTTGTTCCTTTCAGCGGGGTGAGGTTTCTTACACGTTTTTTTTATGCAGCCGTTGTCACTGAAGTCACTCGGGGCGTGTCAGTGGGCGTAGGTTTTAGCGCGTGTCAGCCCGTTCTCCATGGATCGTTGCGACTTGGGCGTCCAATGAATGGCAAGAAAGAGTCTGACACCGCATGAAACCCACGCTCCGACTGTCTTTAGTGATGAAGACTTTAAGTATGAGTTGCTATTGCTTTCCTTTGAGGGACCTTTTTGTAAATTTCTCTCAGCATAATGAGCAGTGGTAGCAGGGATATTATGTGTAGCTGAGCAATATGACTTTCGTTTTGTACCCGTGTAACTCGGAACGACTGAGGTTGGGCGCTGACCAGTACCTGTGGGATTCGTCGTCCATTAACTTCTATAAGTCCCAAATCGCGTGAGCCTGAAAAAGACCTCTTGGGTTGGTATTCGCTCCTGAAACTGATGGCTCTGGAACAGCAATGCTTGGTTGACTTGTGTGGAATATGATGTAGCCGATCGTGAAGTTCCTAGGGACTACCCCTGGCATGGCAGGAAATTTCCCGATCGCAATAGGCCGATCCGTGTTATGGGGGCATATCAAAAGAAATTAGTATCATTGAGTAGAGTACCATATCGTTGTTATCATTGTCCGTTATGGATACACGCTCTCTCTCCCCCCCCCCCCCTCCAAGCGAACTCGCGCCGAATTCCCTTCAAAGTGTCTCGAATTGTCGGAAGAATTTTGACTGGATAAATTTCAAAGTAAAAGCTAATTATTTAAGCGTCCTGTGAAACGGAATAGGAGAGATTAGCTCGAATAGCAAGGACGGTCGAAGAAGACTGCTTGTGCTTTGGTGGTTCGAACATAAGCTCAAATTGGTGTACGAGAGGTTTTTGCGTGCAATTGAGGTATACTTGTGTTAATTTTCGTTTTCTAAGATATTTCAAGATGTAGACTTGACATATTTCGTATCGTACGAATGTAGGAAAATCGAATATTTTACGTGCTGTTTTTCTTCTGGGGAGAAGGGTAGGTGGGAAGAGCGCGGCGAAGTGACTAAGTGTGCTCTTCTCCTTCCATCTCGATTGAACACGGCTAGGGTACGTGCGATGTTTCTTGCCGCGTGCCTTCTCCCTCCAGCTACGTTAATCACTTATTTTGATAGTTTTACTGCATTCAAGTCTTTGGATTTTGCTTGATTTTCAAAACCTATTTGATGTTTTTTAATCTATTCGTTATCTTTCTTTCTATTATGCTTCCCACAAATTCCATTCCAGGGACTTGGCCTCATTGGTTGTTGAGGATCTGAGCAAGCGAGCTTTAAGAACGGCTCTAAACCTTCTTGCCGAACGTCCTGAGGGTGAAAGGGTTTGTGAACTGCTTAGGCTTACAGTGTGCATCGCATAATATAACAAAATTATTTCAGTTCCTTCTGAGCATGCTAGGTTAACAAAATGGGTCATCCAAAAACTCAAATTGGTGCATTCGTTGCAACGTTGCTTGAAGATCTAACGAAACGGCAGCCGAGAATGCGTCCCATTATTGTTGCCGAAGTGGAACGACTGATTTATAGGTACGTAGCGTATCAAGAAATCTAAGACGTTGACGACAATTATGATTTTCGAGAAAAGAATCCAAAAAGAGTGCAAACGTTGAGCACGTTCATACTTCGCGATTCGATTCAGTTGCGCGATTGGGAATCATAACTACGGCTGAACGCACTTCACCACTAATCGCTGGACAGTTAGGATTGATAACTCAGTCACACCGGGATAGAAATCATTTTGAACTCTGCAGCGGTTCAACGATTAGCGGTGGAGGGCGACCAAATCGCTCTAGTCGCGGAGTATGAACACGGCTTTTTGAACCACCGGTAGCTCTCGATGTCGTTAATGTGTTTATCTCTGATTTCGCAATGTTTGTCTCTTTTTTAGGACAAATGTGAGTCCTAAGGCACACCTTGTACGCGTCGACATTCCTTTCTCAGGTTAGTAATAGGAGAATTGAACTGCTATCTTTGTTCATTTATTCTTTTCTTCTTGTATATACTTGTCTTCTCAAAGTCACATTGCATATTAATCTATTAGGTGGAGTCGCTTCCGCGTCTAATGGTAAGGTGCAGAGGTCTTTAGTCCCATAGAGCGTACCACTTTAGCTTTCGAAACGGTATGGCTAAGACGTCAGGCGTTTGTGACGTGTCTGAGGCTCCGCCCCTGCCTGAAGCTCCGCCCCTCCTTTACAGAGCGTCAACATAGTGAAAGAATATAGCTTTGATTGAACCTAATGTATCCACTGTACTATATATCTCGGACCTAGAGTTAGGTCCAGGATCTAACAATAAATTCTGAATCGGGACTGTGGGATAAAAAGATAAAGCATTTTTCCGTAGATCAATCCCCTTCTAGGATGCGGTAGGCATTACGGTAGGTTCACATTTCGATTCGGAAGCGCAGTGGCTTGTTGAATGTGATATTGCCCACGCAGTGAGTTGCTGGGGCGAGTCAAAGTACAAGTCAGTGTTTTCATCCTCCCAGATGAGTCTGATACCTATTCACTGGCCTGGAAGGGATGACGCCTGGTTGGCATGGGCGGGAACCGATATAGACTTGTACCCAGGGCCGCGCACGTGTCAAGCCGTCCATTTGCCTCTACACCACCTTCACCCTGAGTTAGTATTATGTA